TTTCTCATCAGAAACCATGGAGGCCAGAAGGCAGTGGGAAAACATGTTCCAAGTGCAAAAAAGAAAAGACTCAACCAAGATTTCTGTATGTGGCAAAAGTAACCTTCATAAATGAAGAAGTAATTAAGACATGTGCAGATAAACAAAACTGAAAGAATATGTTGCTAGCAGACCTTTCTACAAAAGGGAGTTCCTGTTTAAATCAAAGAACACTAGACAGTAACTCAAATCCACACCAATAAATAAAAAGCACAGGTAAATGTAACTACTTAGGCAAATATAAGAGACAACATAGATGTAGGGTTGGTTTTTTCTTTCTGGTAACAATTTTCTTCTATCTAATGTAAAATCCAACTATAAAACTATAAAAGCAATAACTATAAAACTGTGTTGATAGGCTTATGATGCATAAAGATGTAATTTGTATGACAATAGCACAAAGGAATGATGGAACAGTGCTATATTGGAGTAAAATTTTGTATACTATTGAAATTAAGTTGATATGAATCCAACTTGAGATAGATATTTTACATTTTAACCTGATGTTAACTGCAATCCCCATGACACCAAGAAAATTATGTTCTTTTAAAAAAGGAAATAAAATGAGAATTTAAATAGCACACTAGATAATACTGTTAACACAAAAGAAGATATTAGTGGAAATGAGAACAGAAAGATATAATACATATAAAAAACAAATGCCAAACAGGTAGATGTAAATCCTACTTAACAGTAATTACATTAAATAAATGGACTGAACACTTAAAAGGAAGTGATTGACAGAATAGTAAAGAAAACATGACCCAACCATATGTGCTCTACAAGAAACAAACTTTAGATTCTGAGACACAAATAAGTTTAAGGTTAAAAAATGGAAAAATATATATCATGCAAACACTTAACCAAAAGAAAGCTGAAGTAACTATACTAATAACACACAAAATAAACTTTAAGACAAAAATGGTTAATAGAGGCAAAAAGGAACAATTTATAATATTAAAAGGGTCAATTCATGTGGAACACCTAACAATTATAAAAATATACACTTAATAAGAGCCCCCAAAACAAATGGAAAAATATCTGCTTTGCACTGAGCAGAAACCCGCCTCTGCTGCTTGTGCTCCTTGGTCTTATTTCTACCCTGCCCTGTGTGACAAGAGAGTTTTTCGTAGATTTGAAGCCAACTCTCATGTCCTTTCTCACTTTCCATTTTAATGTGACCTTTGCCCTGTAAATTTTTCCCTAGAATTCAGTTATATTCTCTTATAAAGAAAGCTACTACAGTGTTAAGAGCAGAACTTACTTTTATAGAATTTCAAAGTTAGAAGGAAACATTATTTTTTCCAAATGTCTAACTTTATAGATGAGTAAACCGGAGCTCACCCTGGTTAGATCATTGAGCTAGTTAATGGCAGACGTGGTTTCCAAACTCCTTGTCTAGTCCTTATTGAAACATTTTCCTTCTATGATAATGTTCTCCACTTTGGGTACTCTGGTTGCTGGCTTTGGGTAAGACAGAGACTAAATAACTCTTCTTTCCTCTCCCTTCTTTTAGTGCTGTCTGGCATCTTTCATCTCAAACCTGTCATAGAAGAAAAAAAACTAAAGGAAGGAACTACACTGGGCATGAAAAGACATGGATTCTTATCCTTTTCTTTTTAAATCACTAACCAACTTCTGAGACTTTGGATATGTTACTTCAAAAAATAATAATTACTATCTATTGAGCACCTACTGTTTACCAGGCATTGTGTTAGGCACTTTACATACAAGCCCCTATATATAAGTGTCTGCTTGTCTAAAATAAGAGAGTGTGCTACATGTCGTCCAGTGTCCCACCCAGTTCCAGGAGTGGGTGACCGTAAGGAGCTATCTTTCTTAGAACATTCTTACAGTTCCTGAGGCTTCTTTATTCTCCTCTTTCCTGTTTCCTAGCTGGCAGTGGTAAGGTTGCTGTAGAATAAAGCTCTATGTCAACTCCACTGTAGTGAGTCCTGGGCTGTGTCGTCCTCCTCTTTACTCTCCCAAAGGGCTTCCCACTTTTCCATAGGAATGGGCTTGACTCTTACTAGCCCCTGTTAGGGTTTCCATGATTGTATGACTTCCTCTCTCCTTAGACTCTCCCTGTGGATCTTTGATTCACTCTGATGCCTTCTTTTTCTACCTGTGGGCTCAGAGAAGTCAAATAATTTGGAAAAGGTCACCCAGATTATATATAAGTAGCAGAACCGGCAACTGTCTGACTCCATTGCCTTTGTTATTTCTGCTATAATATGATTCCTGTCTCTGAAATTTCACTTGGGTCTATTTTTCCCACCCTGACTTAAGATCGAGCTGAAGCCTGCCTTTTCCATCATCACCTTAGCCTGGCCACATTTTCTTCCCTCACAATTTCCCCACTAGATATTGTCTGCACTACACATCAGGCCCCACTTGGGGACTTAGATCTTAGGAGACCCTATAGTTTAAGTGGTTATAAATGTGGGGTCTGGAGTCAGAGGGCCAAAGTATGAATTCTGGCTCTACTACAAGTCTATGCAACCTTGGGAAAATTCCTTAACCTCTCTGGGCCTCCATTTCCTCAACTACAAACTAGAGATACTGGAACCACTTACCTCCTAGAGTTGCTGTGCAGAAGTAGCACAATGTCTGATACACGAAAGAAGGACTCAGTGAACTGATTCTATTACCAGATCTTGGGCTGAGTTCTGACTGGTCCAAGCTAAGCAACAGTCTTGCCAGAATGAGTGAGTAAGAAATGTGTACATGAATTTGATGAGTCCAGAATGACTTTCAGCACTGCGGTTTGGTGATGTGGTCTCAGATTTGAGGCCTGGAATTTGCTGGAACAATTAAAAAAATTTTTTTTAATACAAACAGAAAGTAAGCCTGAGAACAAAGCTGACACCCTGCCACATGTAGTAAGGCAGAGCTGAGAAAATCGAAGAGAGCTAGAACCAGAGGCTTGATCAAGTGTCCCCTGAAGTCCCCCTGACCCATTGCCTGAGCCAATTAAAAAATGTAGTATTTGAGTTTCCTTATTAGTTTTTAAAAATCATTTACAACTGAAAATATCCTGATACTCTATATTATTATTACTTTCCCATGTGTATTATGTGTGTCCAATATCTATGTCTATACATGTTGGATACTGAATACAGCGCACATATATATTGTCATGAGATTGTAATGTCCTTTAGAACAGACACTAACTTACTAAGCTGTATGTTGCCATGCCGCCTAGTACCATTCCATCACCTAGAAGGTTCTCATTCTCCTACACTTTATGCCAGGATACTCATGTCTAACCTCAACAGCAGAGTTGAAGTAGTGGAAGAAAGAAAAGCTAACTTGAAGATCAATCAATTGAGATTATCCAGTGTAAGAAAGAAAGAAAAAAGAATGAAGAAAAATAAACAGTCTCAGAGACCTGTGAGATACCATTAAGCATACTAGCATACATAGTGGGAGTCTCAGAGGAGAGGAAAGAAAAGGGCACAAAGAATATTTAAATAAATTATAGCTGAAAATTTCCCAAACTTATTTTTAAAACATTAATCTACACACCCAAGAAGCTAAGTAGAATAAACTCAAGAATAGTCACACTTACACACACCATAGTCAAACTTTCAAAAGACAAAAAGAGAATCTTGAAAACAGCAAGACAAAAAGCAGCTCATCACTTACAGGGGGTTGTCAGTACGTCTGACAGCTGATTTCTCATCAGAAACCATGGAGGCCAGAAGGCAGTGGGAAAACATGTTCCAAGTGCAAAAAAGAAAAGACTCAACCAAGATTTCTGTATGTGGCAAAAGTAACCTTCATAAATGAAGAAGTAATTAAGACATGTGCAGATAAACAAAACTGAAAGAATATGTTGCTAGCAGACCTTTCTACAAAAGGGAGTTCCTGTTTAAATCAAAGAACACTAGACAGTAACTCAAATCCACACCAATAAATAAAAAGCACAGGTAAATGTAACTACTTAGGCAAATATAAGAGACAACATAGATGTAGGGTTGGTTTTTTCTTTCTGGTAACAATTTTCTTCTATCTAATGTAAAATCCAACTATAAAACTATAAAAGCAATAACTATAAAACTGTGTTGATAGGCTTATGATGCATAAAGATGTAATTTGTATGACAATAGCACAAAGGAATGATGGAACAGTGCTATATTGGAGTAAAATTTTGTATACTATTGAAATTAAGTTGATATGAATCCAACTTGAGATAGATATTTTACATTTTAACCTGATGTTAACTGCAATCCCCATGACACCAAGAAAATTATGTTCTTTTAAAAAAGGAAATAAAATGAGAATTTAAATAGCACACTAGATAATACTGTTAACACAAAAGAAGATATTAGTGGAAATGAGAACAGAAAGATATAATACATATAAAAAACAAATGCCAAACAGGTAGATGTAAATCCTACTTAACAGTAATTACATTAAATAAATGGACTGAACACTTAAAAGGAAGTGATTGACAGAATAGTAAAGAAAACATGACCCAACCATATGTGCTCTACAAGAAACAAACTTTAGATTCTGAGACACAAATAAGTTTAAGGTTAAAAAATGGAAAAATATATATCATGCAAACACTTAACCAAAAGAAAGCTGAAGTAACTATACTAATAACACACAAAATAAACTTTAAGACAAAAATGGTTAATAGAGGCAAAAAGGAACAATTTATAATATTAAAAGGGTCAATTCATGTGGAACACCTAACAATTATAAAAATATACACTTAATAAGAGCCCCCAAAACAAATGGAAAAATATCTGCTTTGCACTGAGCAGAAACCCGCCTCTGCTGCTTGTGCTCCTTGGTCTTATTTCTACCCTGCCCTGTGTGACAAGAGAGTTTTTCGTAGATTTGAAGCCAACTCTCATGTCCTTTCTCACTTTCCATTTTAATGTGACCTTTGCCCTGTAAATTTTTCCCTAGAATTCAGTTATATTCTCTTATAAAGAAAGCTACTACAGTGTTAAGAGCAGAACTTACTTTTATAGAATTTCAAAGTTAGAAGGAAACATTATTTTTTCCAAATGTCTAACTTTATAGATGAGTAAACCGGAGCTCACCCTGGTTAGATCATTGAGCTAGTTAATGGCAGACGTGGTTTCCAAACTCCTTGTCTAGTCCTTATTGAAACATTTTCCTTCTATGATAATGTTCTCCACTTTGGGTACTCTGGTTGCTGGCTTTGGGTAAGACAGAGACTAAATAACTCTTCTTTCCTCTCCCTTCTTTTAGTGCTGTCTGGCATCTTTCATCTCAAACCTGTCATAGAAGAAAAAAAACTAAAGGAAGGAACTACACTGGGCATGAAAAGACATGGATTCTTATCCTTTTCTTTTTAAATCACTAACCAACTTCTGAGACTTTGGATATGTTACTTCAAAAAATAATAATTACTATCTATTGAGCACCTACTGTTTACCAGGCATTGTGTTAGGCACTTTACATACAAGCCCCTATATATAAGTGTCTGCTTGTCTAAAATAAGAGAGTGTGCTACATGTCGTCCAGTGTCCCACCCAGTTCCAGGAGTGGGTGACCGTAAGGAGCTATCTTTCTTAGAACATTCTTACAGTTCCTGAGGCTTCTTTATTCTCCTCTTTCCTGTTTCCTAGCTGGCAGTGGTAAGGTTGCTGTAGAATAAAGCTCTATGTCAACTCCACTGTAGTGAGTCCTGGGCTGTGTCGTCCTCCTCTTTACTCTCCCAAAGGGCTTCCCACTTTTCCATAGGAATGGGCTTGACTCTTACTAGCCCCTGTTAGGGTTTCCATGATTGTATGACTTCCTCTCTCCTTAGACTCTCCCTGTGGATCTTTGATTCACTCTGATGCCTTCTTTTTCTACCTGTGGGCTCAGAGAAGTCAAATAATTTGGAAAAGGTCACCCAGATTATATATAAGTAGCAGAACCGGCAACTGTCTGACTCCATTGCCTTTGTTATTTCTGCTATAATATGATTCCTGTCTCTGAAATTTCACTTGGGTCTATTTTTCCCACCCTGACTTAAGATCGAGCTGAAGCCTGCCTTTTCCATCATCACCTTAGCCTGGCCACATTTTCTTCCCTCACAATTTCCCCACTAGATATTGTCTGCACTACACATCAGGCCCCACTTGGGGACTTAGATCTTAGGAGACCCTATAGTTTAAGTGGTTATAAATGTGGGGTCTGGAGTCAGAGGGCCAAAGTATGAATTCTGGCTCTACTACAAGTCTATGCAACCTTGGGAAAATTCCTTAACCTCTCTGGGCCTCCATTTCCTCAACTACAAACTAGAGATACTGGAACCACTTACCTCCTAGAGTTGCTGTGCAGAAGTAGCACAATGTCTGATACACGAAAGAAGGACTCAGTGAACTGATTCTATTACCAGATCTTGGGCTGAGTTCTGACTGGTCCAAGCTAAGCAACAGTCTTGCCAGAATGAGTGAGTAAGAAATGTGTACATGAATTTGATGAGTCCAGAATGACTTTCAGCACTGCGGTTTGGTGATGTGGTCTCAGATTTGAGGCCTGGAATTTGCTGGAACAATTAAAAAAATTTTTTTTAATACAAACAGAAAGTAAGCCTGAGAACAAAGCTGACACCCTGCCACATGTAGTAAGGCAGAGCTGAGAAAATCGAAGAGAGCTAGAACCAGAGGCTTGATCAAGTGTCCCCTGAAGTCCCCCTGACCCATTGCCTGAGCCAATTAAAAAATGTAGTATTTGAGTTTCCTTATTAGTTTTTAAAAATCATTTACAACTGAAAATATCCTGATACTCTATATTATTATTACTTTCCCATGTGTATTATGTGTGTCCAATATCTATGTCTATACATGTTGGATACTGAATACAGTGCACATATATATTGTCATGAGATTGTAATGTCCTTTAGAACAGACACTAACTTACTAAGCTGTATGTTGCCATGCCGCCTAGTACCATTCCATCACCTAGAAGGTTCTCATTCTCCTACACTTTATGCCAGGATACTCATGTCTCCCATCTGTGGACTTTGAGCAGATTTGAGGCAGAAAGAGAAGGTGGCCAGAGTCCCAGGTAGATTGGTCCTCTGGTGCTTCTTCATCTTCTGACTGTGTCATAATAATAGGAAAGCCAAACACTTCATAGAGTAGCTAAGCCTTACTGAGTTCTAGGCATTGTACACACACAATCATCTTTTCTCCTCTCAGTTACTTATGACGACTCTTATGTATGCCCTGTGTTACAGAATGACAAGCTGATATTTGGGGAGTTTACTAAGTGGACAAGTTCACCCAGCTTGTACATACTGTGATTTAGGAGCCTGCACTAAAATCACTGTATCCATACCTGCTAGTTCTCATTCCACTTTACAGAAAATGAAACTAAAAATCATAGATTTAAACCTTGTGGGTGTGGTTTAAAGAAGAAAGGTGATGTGGAGCTCTATCATCAGACCCATGTGAGAAAAATAAGCTTTAGACAGACGTCAGGAGATTGGTAAATAAACATGTATTCACTTCAAAAAAACGTTTAAAATATTATATTACTTTTTTAATGATTTTCACTTTCCCAACATTTTCAGGTAACCTACCACCTTCCTAATCACATAGGAAAGATCTTTACTTTTTGGTTTTCTTTTTTGAGTAAGAGTTTAAAATAGGATCATGCCAAATGTACTGTTTTGTAACCTGACTTTTCTTTTTTTCAGTTGACAGTAATCTCTTGGAGTCTTTCTCCACCAGTACATACAGATCTATTTCATTCATAGTAAGTGCAGAATGCTTCTGAATAGTAAGAATGTATCATAATTTAATACTTCCTATAATTAAGAGGCATTTGGGAGCCCACCCTCACCAACTTTCTGCTTTTATAAGTAATGTTCCATCAGATGTCACTGTACTTTGATTCTTTGGTCATTCGGGGGTGGAAGGAGAAAAATGTTGGAGTCTTGTTTCTGTAAATTAAGAGGTCCAAGAAAGGAAATGAACATCTTGAGGCCCCTATCTTCAATAGCCTTACAGTGTAAAAGGGATCACGCACACATAACTCTCACTTTAATATAGGAGAGAGGGGAATAGGGGTCACGCCAATGTTATGGGAATGCAGGAAGGGAGAGACTGAGGAGCTCAACTGAGTAGATGACTGAGAGGGCAGCATGGAGGCGGCGGCAACTGAGTTCCCGCTTGAGAAAGGGAAGCCTCTGATCTTGGTCTGCTTATTTTCCCATCTTCACCTGGCAGTGTGCCTGTTATTTGTCTGGACTTTTAGTTAGACCACTTGGTTGGACGCCTAGCAGCAGAGATGGAAAGGAAAGATGCTCTGGACAAAGGAGACAGGCAAGTGCATGCTCTGCAGGGGGGCTAAGGATGGGCTGGCATGGCAGGAACCATCAGCCACCTCGGGGAAGCACGGGAATGGAGAGACCTCAGCATGCGGGCTAAGAGGCACCCAAGAGGGAGTTAGATTTGCCTGAAAGAGAATTTTTTCTCCAGGGTATGTGATGAAGGTTGGGTGGAGAATTTAAGGATCAGCAGACAGCAATCTGGGGTGCTTTGAGCCAAACAGATGGGTCCATGTTCTTGACAGCTGACCGAGCAGCCCCAGGTCTTCCAGAATCTGCTACCACAGCCAACTGTATGCTTCGCTTTTGGGGGTTGTTTCTGCTTTGAAATGAAGTGGAGGAGCCACATGGAAGGAAAACTCCCAAGTTTTAGAAAAAACAAACTACCTCTTTTAGCTGCCACTGTGTATACATCCATAAAAATCCTCTCTATGCCCCCATGAACTTCGACATGCAGTTTATCTCATTTGTTCCATAAAGCATCAGATGCGACTTTAATGGCCTAACCCCAAAAAGATAACTTGACAGCCCTGAAATGTTCCGCAGCATTCCAAATAACCTTTGGCTGGAGCCGGCCTTCTACGGGGCCATGTGGATGTCAGACACACACAACTCGAGTCACGCTGACATAGCTGGGATGCCTGGGGTACCAATCACAGGCCAGCGAGGAGCCACTGGCTGGAGAAAACAATGCCAGTGTGCTCACATCTCTGCAGAAGGAGGGGTGTTGATGGTGACGGATTGACAGTTACAGCCAGAGGAGCATGGTGACCCTGATGCAGGGGGACGTGTGTCGGTGGTGCTGGGCCACTGGTCGGAGGGCTCCAGGGGCTCAGGCCATGGCTACACCCTTCTCCTGACCCCAACCAGAAAAATTAAGAAGGCATAGATAGATTTTCCCTAAACTACTTCCTGAATGGAGTACAATGCTGCCTTCAGGGCTTTGAGGAATCCAGGGTTGATAATAATGGCCCCAATTAATTAAGCATTTACCAGACACAGTGCTAGGCATCTTACAGATAATTCATTTAATTTTCACAATTCCACTGTAAAATAATTATCACAATTCCCATGTTACGAAGGAGGAAAGTGAGGCTAGGAAGGAGGAAAAAAATTACCCAAATCCTGCAGCCACTGACTAGCAGAGTCAAGATTTGAACCAGTCTTTGAAAAGCCAAAGTCTGGGCTCCTGACCACTGTGCTCAGTGCCATGTGCTGATCCACATGATCTGTGCCACCCACAGCAGCCACCCTCCCAGATGGGGGAACTCTGTTGAGCAAGTAGAGAAGAATTCTAAAAGGGATTCTTTTACCTCTCCTGGTTTCCTTGGGGTCAGGTAGGCATGTTGCTCACTCAACACTGGGTTACTTCAAGGATTGTGCTATGCAAGACCCCAGGCTGGGTGCAGTGGGGGGCATTTGAGATGACACAGGTGTGGTGACTCTCTGAGGGGGCTGAAAAATGCAGGCATCTGGGAGGCCAGGCTGTGGGGTTCTTGCTTCTCTGATGAGTTGGTTTGGCATTAGTTTTTTAACCAGGGTCTGTCTGCCCTTTGTTTCTTTCTTTCCCTCCCTCCCTCCCTCCTTCCCTCCTTCCCTCCTTCCCTCCCTTCCTTGATTCCCTCTTTCCTCTCTCTTTCCTTCTTTATTTCTTCTTCTTCTTCTTTTTTTTAACAGAGTATAAACCTTTACTGACTTAACCTCTGCAAAGTACAGCCCTTAATCATTGACCTAAAACCATTAGCAAGCAGCATCTCGTCCGGCCCTCTGACAGAATGAACTAGGTACTATTATTACCCCCATTTTACGAAGACAAAGAGACTGAAGCTCAGCCAGGTGAAGGGACATCCTGCTGCCTGCCTGATTCAGTACCCTGTTTTTCTTAGCCACAGTAGCAGCACATGACATAATAGTGCCTCACTCTGTATAAGGTTCTGCTTCAAATTCTTATTTTATAGTCATGCACTCAGTCCTCATAACAGCACTGAGATAGGGACCATGATTATCTCTGTTTAATAGATGGGGAAACTGAGGCACAGAATGGTTAGGTAACTTGCCCAAGTTCACCCCACTAAGAGGCTGAGTTGGGATTTACATTTGCTTATATTTTGTGGTAAAATAAAAAACACTCCTCAGTTTTTGTTTTGTTTTCCACTTGAAATCTGCAGCAGCCCAGAGAGGGATGCCAGGGTACTGAGAATGTATTCTCGGCTCTGAACTGGGGAGGGGTGCCAGGGACAGCCACGTCCTGTAACTCTGGAGATGGAGGGTGGTGGAGAGACAGCAGGCAGCCGCAGGCCTGGGGCCCTGCCAGGGGAGGCCTCAAAGCCCACTCTGGGGTTGGCACCCCCATGCTGGGCAGTGCACCAAGGTGAGTCGTGGCTTTTAGGAGACCAGCAGAACATGGTCCTTGGGAGAAGAGAAAACCTAAGGGAGGGGCTGGCATGACCTCAGCCTTCAGCTCTGAGAAGGGCTGTTCTGTGAAATAGGGGATGTAGGTAGCAACTCTCTCAAAAGCCAGGCAAGAAAAAGGTTTCTGTTTGGGCAAAAGCAGGAGTGTTTTAGGAGTAAAGATGGGTCCCTAACAATGCACAATGTTCCAACCTGGAAGAGGTGGCTGTAGACACTGCGCCCAAAAGAGGGGCCACTAGGGAAAGGAGATGGGTGGGCTTTAAGTTGGCTTCTTCATTATTTCTGCCCACTAACCTCTGAAACCCTATCCATCTTTGAAGCCTTGGCTACACTGCCACCTCCTCCATGAAACCCTCCCTGACCAACCACCCCCCAACAGCTGTAGAACTCAGTTTTCTTCAGGGGACAAAAAGCCTAAGTACTCTGAGATTCAGATCAGTTCACATTCATTCAGGGCGGGGCTCACCAGTGGACTGAGGCTTAGACCAGTCATTCAGGTGACAGAAGCCCCAGACATTCTGGAATCCAGCCCAGTCAGTCCGTTCTTACAGCAAATATGCACTTTCTGCTGTTCATTTGGCCTTCGGTGTTAGGTGTCACCTCTCTGGTATGGTGTCTTCTGGAGTTAGCTGCTTCTCATGGTTGCATTTCTCAGATGCTCACACAACACTCAGCTCTTGGCATGTGCTGAGCACTGTTTAACTGCTTCTCAGGGATTATCTCACTTGATCCTCCCAGTGACCCTAGGAGTCAATGTTATTATTGTCACTGATTACAGAGAACGAAGCAGAGGCCCAAGTCCTCAGCAGCTAAGACTCAAGCAGGGACTTGAACACAGTGTTGAAACCCCCGGCATCAAACTTTGGGATTTCTCCCAGGCTTGTCCTCGGCAAAGAGAAGTCAGGGACCTTCATCTCCTGTGTATCTCCTATAGCTCCTAGCAGGTGCCTGTACACAGTACTTGCTCAATAAATGTTGGCTTATTGATGTTCAAAGACATTTATAATCTACATTTTCACAGATCAGTGAGTTAGGATGCTTTTGAGAGGACAAAATAGTGTTGAATCCTTGCTAGCCAAACTCAGGTACTTCTTGGGGGAAGTGAGAGATTTGCAGGCAGCACCCTAGAAAATTTTATTATAAGTCTTTAGGATAGCTGTGATGTAATAAATACACACACACACACACACACACCAAAAAAAAAAAAAAATGGTCTTTGTCCCTAGTTCCTGACACAGCTGTCAAATCCCTTGAAATTTCCTGGGTGATAGGAGCATTCTTGTTCTAGTAAGACCACTCATAGTTCACCAGTGGCCAGTGGTTTAATCAATTGTATCTAGAAAGGTAGTGACTCCAGCTCCGTGGGGACAAAAACTCCTGTGCTCAGGATCCTTTGAGACCTTACCCTATGTATCTCTTCATCTGGCTGTTTATTTTTATCCTTTATAAGGAACTGGTAATAGTAGGTAAACTGCCTCTGACTTCTGTGAGTCATTCTAGCAAATTATCAAACTGAGATAGGTGTTGTGGGAATCCCTGAATTTACAGTCAGTTGGCCAGGATTACAGGTGGCAACATGGTACTTTTAACTGGCATCTAACGTGGGTACAGTCTGTGGGCCTGAGCACTTTGTCTTGCCTGTAGGGTGTGTGCTAATTCCAGGTATTTAGTATCATAAATGAATTGAATTGTAAGACACCAAGTTAGTGTTTAGAGAGTTAGAGAATTGGTTGGTGTGGTGGAAAAGCCCACACATTTGGTGTCAGAAGTATGAGTAAACACACTTTTATATTAGCAAAGAGAAAGGTAAGAAGCAGTTGGCAATGAGGGGTGCTGAGAGACAACCCATTTCAGTAAAACCTTGATTAATTGACTCAAAAACACTTTATTAACTACTCTTCTTCTGTCCTCCACTTGTAGGAGAATATAAAATAAAACTGACTCATACAAGGAGTGATGATGAAAATGCAACTTCCAGAAGATTCCAAGGCAGCAGCGTGGACTAGATTTGATCTCTACCTCCTAGGTCTATATCTCCAATCTTGGACAATAAGAGCTAGTGCCCAGTGGTGGTGTGAAGTCAGAAGAAGCTCCTAACCAAGATCACCAAGAAAGTTGCATCATTTTTCTGTCCTTGCTAAGATGTGAAAGTAGACTCAGTTTTTGAGAGATTTTTTTTGTAAGGTTTGAAACATAAAGTATTTTTTTCAAGGTGACCTTCAACTCATTACAGTGGCATTTGGAAGAACATCTCCAAACTCTGTTTTGGTCAATTGGCCTTTAAGAGTTACTAATAAATTGCAAGCTGCAGAAAAAGTGGGGAAGAAGGTACGCACTTCACCAAAGGATTGGTTGCTTATCTAGACATTCTCTCTCGGTGATTCTTTAAATTGAGAGCATTTCTGGTGCATTTTAAATGGTTTCATTCCCCTGAAAGTGAGACTTATATACTCCATACAGAAAATCTGGCAAAATTTACTTGATTTTGAAATCCTTATAAAGCATACCATGTTAAAGCTGAAAGGGGCATTGAGTCACTCCTGCTCGTTTTAAAGCTTCAAGAAATTAAGTGACTTGTCACATCAAAGGCTTTGTCCGTGGTGAGCTAATTCCCAGTTTTCTCCCACTACTGTGCATTTTCCTTATATCCAAAATATCTGATCATCCCTAGGGAGGA